GCAATGCTTATCATCTGATTCGGATCCGCCAGGGGGATGAGTGGAAGACGGCGTTTACTTGGTACTTTTACTTGGGTACTTTGAGTATTTGGTGATGCCATTCGGGCTCACAAATGATCCAGCTGTTTTTCAGGCCATGATAAATTATGTTTTACCAGACCTCATTTATCACTGCGTTTTCGTTTATCTAGACGACATCCTCGTGTTTTCCCAGTGAAAGTAAAGGAGGTGGTGGAATGGCCCGAACCCAAGAACCGTAAGCATCTGCAAAAGTTTCTGGGATTTGCCAACTTCTATCGACGGTTTATTCGCAATTTCAGTCAAGTCGCCTTGCCCCTCACCAAACTAACCTCTCCTAAGAGGCCGTTCCAGTGGTCTCCCGGCGCTGAACAAGCTTTTGAGAAACTCAGACACCTTTTTCCTCAGCTCCGGTGATGGTGCAGGCGGACCTCAGTCAACCCTTTTTGGTGGAGGTGGATGCTTCGGACGCAGGCGTGTGGGCAATCCTATCCCAACAGGTAAACGGAGAGTTACACCCATGTGCCTTATTCTCTGAACGTTTATCTCCTGCAGAGAGCAATTATGACGTTGGAGACCGGGAGCTCCTCGCCATAAAACTGGCCCTCGAAGAGTGGCGGCATTGGCTCGGCAGTGGTAATTTGGACAGACCACAAGAACTTAGCCTATCTCCAAGAAGCCAAGAGACTGAACGCCCGGCAGGCCAGGTGGGCTCTATTTTTCACACGGTTTAACTTAACAATCTCTTACAGACCCGGCTCCCTCAATCTCAAAGCGGATGCGTTATCACATCAATTCACCCTGGATCTTGACCCTGAAGAGAAGGAGAAACCCATTCTGCCCTCCTCGTGCTTTGTGGGGGCTCTGACCTGGGAGATAGAGAGGATCATCAAGGAAGCTCAGCTGTCAGAACCTGATCCAGGGACAGGTCCAGAGGGGAGGATGTTTGTTCCCACGGCAGTCCGAAGTAAGGTCCTTCACTAGGCCCATACGGCCAAGTTCGCCTGCCACCCAGGTAAAAACTGCACTACTGCCTTTCTGCAACATTTGTTTTGGTGGCCAACTTTAGGGAAGGACGCTCAGGAGTACGTGGCGGCTTGCCCTGTTTGTGCCCGTAACAAGGCCCCCAGTTCACCTCCTGCCGGCCTCCTTCGTCCATTGCCTGTACCCAGACGCCCGTGGTCTCATATCACAATGGACTTCATCACTGGTCTCCCACCCTCTGGTAACACGGTCATCCTGACCATCATCGATCGCTTCTCGAAGGCTGTTCATTTCATCGCTCTGCCTAAACTCCCTTCAGCCCTGAAAGCTGCCAAGATTATGACACAGCAGGTGTTCCGTCTCCACGGTGTTCCCCAAGATATAGTGTCCGATCGGGGTCCCCAGTTCACGTCCCGGGTATGGAAGGAGTTTTGTAAGGAACTGGGGGTCAGCTTATCTTCCGGCTTCAACCCTCAAATTAACGGGCAAACGGAACGAGCTAATCAAGAACTCGAAGCGATGCTACGTTGTGTAGTCTCTTCCAACCAATCGTCATGGAGCAATCAACTGGCTTGGATTGAATATGCCCATAATGCTAGCACGTCGGCAGCCACTGGAGTTTCTCCATTTGCGGCCTCCCTGGGGTACCAGACCCTGCTTCTCTCTGTGTCAGAAGGGGAATTGAGGGTTCCTTCGGTTAAGCACCACATGCGGCACTGCCGACAGGTATTGTGTGCCACCCGAACCGCCCTTTTGAGGACCGCCGAACAAGAGATATTTTGTATTTTATTTTATTGTATTAAGTATATTTATTTGCAGCTGCGGTGTGTCAAATATATAATTTTATCCACTGTTTATCCTGGTGTGGTCCTTCATTATTGATGTTTATACCTCTTAGATTATCTGATACTGGCCTAGTGAGAGTTTGGTCATTCTTGCTTAAAAACTGTAAGTAGGGTTACAATTTTGTATCAATTGCTTTTGCTGAAAATGAATTACAGTTGTCCAGGCTAGAAGTAATTAACACATGAAATAGTTTTGCAAGACAAGATGTCTCTAATTTTGGAGCTGTTGCTCAAATGCAAGAAACCAGTTTGCATATTAAACATATATTTTTATTTTCTTCAATGACTTGAAGGATCTTGAAGAATCTTCAAGTCATTTTTTGACCAGAATATCCTTCAATGTTACTTAAGGCCAAGGTAATGCCATCTAGAGTACACATCTAGTTAAACACCATATTTAAGGACACGGTTTAGCACAATGGGATGAGCAGGCAACCATATGCCGCATGGCTGAGATGTCTTCCCCTCTCTCTCTCCCCCCTGCTTTCCTATCACTCTTCAATGTACCCTTTGAAATAAAGCTGTAAAAAGGCCAAAAAAACGCACCATATTTAAAGGATTTTTAGGGTCGCGTACGTAACCTCAGTTTTATCTGAAATGCAGTTTATCGAATTCATGTGTGTCAATAAGATAAACAGCAGGTGTAAAGGTCTTGCTTGATGGATAGATAAAGTTGGGTATCCACTGCGCAGCAGTGAAAATGTATTATGTACCTTCTGATACTACTGCCTAAGATAAGCATGTATAATGCAAGGGTGTGCGTGAAGAATGTCAAGAACTCGTCCCTGACTCGAAGTGGATACTCCACCCTTTTCTGACTGAGAACCATGGCCTCAGATTTGGAGATGCTGATCCTCATTCCCGCCGCTTAATTCCAGTGCGACCTGGAGGCCATCAACCGATGAAGCCAACAGAACCATCATCTTCGAAAAGCAGAGATGACATTCTGAGACCACCCAAGTGAAAGCCTTCCATCACTTGGCTTTGCCTAGAAATTCGCCTAGAGATTCTGTTCATAAAAATTATGAACAGAATCAGTGACAAAAGGGCAACCCTGGCAGAGCCCATCACCCACCAAGAACGAGTTTGATTTATTGCCGGCTATGCGAACCAAGCTCTTGCAATGGTTGTATAGAGATCGAATGGCGTAGCAATGGGCCAGACACCCCATACTCCCGCAGCACCTCCCACAGGACACTCCGAGGGACACGGTCGAATGCCTTCTTCAGGTCCACAAAACGCATGTAGACTGGTTGGGCAAACTCCAATCCACCCTCATGTATCCTCAAGAGGATAAAGAGCTGGTCCAGTGTTCCGTGACAAGGGTGAAAACTGCATTGTTTCTCCTGTATCTGAGATTCCACTAATGGACGGACTCTCCTTTCCAGCACTCTGGCATAGACCTTAACGGGGAGGCTGTGATACCCCTGGAACACACCCTCCGGTCCATCTTCTTACAGATGGGGACCACCACCCCGGTCTGCCAGTCCAGGGGTACCGCCCCTGATGTCCATGCAACATTGTAGAGGCGTGTCAGCCAGGACAGCCCTACAACATCCAGAGCCCTCAGGAATCCAGGGCGGACCTCATCCACCACAGGGGCTCTGCCACCAAGGAGTTGATTAACTGCCTCAGTGACCTCACACCTGGAAATTGGTGGGTCATCCAACTCTGCTTCTTCTATGGAAGACGTGTCAGTGGGATTAAGGAGGTCCTCGAAGTATTCCTTCCACCGCCCAACAACTTTCTCAGTTGAAGTCAGCAGTGCTCCACCCGCACTATACACAGTACAGGTAGAGCACCGCTTTCCCCTCCTGAGTCGCCTGAAGGTTTGCCAGAATCTCTTCTTCAGCCTGGTGGCTCCCTTCACCTCTGGTGTCCACCATTTGGTTCAGGGGTTTACTACCATGACAGGCAACAACCACCTTGCGGCCGCAGCTCAGTGCATCAACTTCGGCAATGGAGGTGCTGAACATGGTCCATTCAGACTCATTCAGATGTCCCCAGTCTCCCTTGGAATGCTGTTGAAGCTCTGCCGGAGGTGTGCGTTGAAGATCTGGGGCGGACTGGGGCCTCTGCTAGACATTCCCAGCACACCCTCACTGTACGTTTAGGAGCACCAGGTCTGTCCAGTGGCCTCCCCCAGCTCAGCCCCTCTCTTTACCCGGGTGTGCAGAACATATGGCTGGAACATATATGTTTTCAGAAACATTGCGTGTATTTTTAATCATAACTGTGGTTTTACATGGCTGGTATATTGTTTGAAGTCCACACTTTCAACACAAGTTGAAATGGAGACTTTGTGTCAGGGCTCTGTGTGCGGGCAGGCGGAGAGGAGGATCCAAACGCAGGACTCAGACACTAACTTTAAACTCAAAAACCTCAGCTTTATTGCTGGTACGAAAACAAAACATGAAGTGACCATGGAATATGGAGAACCAAAACACACAGGCATAATCTGATGGTACGACGCAACACTGAGCACAGGAAAACACAGGGCTAATATACACAGGGTAGTAATCAGCGAATGGGCAACAGGAGGGAGACACAGCTGGGAGAGATCAGGGTTAACGAGACGGGGGGAACCAAGCTGCACACACTAACATAAGACAAAGACTTTCACCATAAAACAGGAAACATGAATTACTAAACAAGCATGCAGACTTTACATTGAGAGACAGACAGAGAATGACACATGGAACCTGAACTAAACGTGAGATATAACTGAGAACAAATCCTTAAGCATGGATAAAAGAAACAAGAAATAATAATCATCATCATCACTATGAGAATAAGAAAACAATCCATGAAGCAGAATTAAACCGAAATATAATAAACTCAAAATACTGGGTCCAACAGACCCAGAACCGTGACACTTTGGGTCACTGCATCTTGTTGCTGGAGTTGCAATATGAGTTCACAAGGCTTAGATGTCCCTTGTAACATAATGTTAGACAGTCTGCTAGATGTCTGCAGTGTGTTATTGTATCAACAACCTCTGATATGTCAGTACAAAGCTTGTACTGACAGAATTTTCTTTTTGCAGTGAGTTCTCCTGTAAAATATTAATGATAAATTCCCAACCCAGAAGAAAGAACATGCACAACTGAAATCTACCTCATCTTTCGAGTAAGTAACATAACCTTTTCCTACCTGGAAAAAAACAGCCATTGCTGCAATGATTCTCTTCTCTCTGAGTGCTGCAGTGAGACTTTCAAAGTCATCTGAGTTATACATGTAGATCTGCATCTGTGGAAAAAGAAAAAACTGACATTAGTTTGTGAGACAGAAAACTAGTGAAACCATGTTAATTTATGGTGCTGTGGCTCAGGAGGTATAGCAGCAGTTCACATGTTGTAGGTGTACAGACACCCAAAGCTGCCATGAAATATATATTTAGATTTATATACAATTTTGGCCACTTAGTTATGATGTTCAATGTATGTCCTGTGCGCTAGCATCTCGCACGCTGGTGCAATGTGAAGGATTGTCTTAGGGGCATCTTTACACAGCCTGCCTGCTTTGCCTGGTGTGGTAGACCACAGCCTCTCTGGATCTTAGAGCTTGCTCCCGTGCTGCCTCTGTGCTGTCTTTTAGTCCAACTTTATCCAGCCACTGGTAGGATTTCTGGATGCCAGCCACTTACTCTATCTGTTGGTGGTACATACTGTGCAGGGACCTGTCCTTGCATGGTTCTTCCTCTTGCTCCTCTTCTTTCTGGGATTTCTCCTGCCTGAGGTGTTCACTAAGCACACAGTTGGTTGTGACGATCTTCCTGATGTACTCATTGATGTTCATTGTTTCATCCTGGATAGTGGTTCTGCGGTGGTTTGCAATGTTGCCTTCAGATAGAACTGAGAGGATCACACTAACTACCTTCCCTCTCTTTGTTACCATCCGACTACCGACTGCACTTCTCCACTCCAAATAACATTGCTGTATATCCTGGTGGTGTGGAACAGTGAATCAATGTCTTGTTCACTCTCAGCATCGAGCTTCAACCATGTTAAGGAGGTGGGTGACAACTGCTCCCTTCCGTAGTGAGTGTCGGTAGCCAGTCTTGTCAATGATCTTCACTGAGAGGGTTCAGGCCTATGCAGAACAGCAGTGTGGACAGAGCATCTCCTTGTTAGATCCTTAGTTGGCCTCTAATGTTGCTGAGTTCCTAATGAAGGCTCTGTTTCCTTCACCCTCCACATTTTCTCGAGCTCTTCTCTGAGCCCTTGGTATTTCTCAAGCTTCTCGTGTTCCTTCTTTCTGATGTTGGTGTCATTGGGAACCGCTACATCTATCACTACGGCCGTCTTCTTCTGTTTGTCTACCATCATTATGTCCAGTTGCTTAGCCACCACCATTTTGTCCGTCTGTATCTGGAAGTGCCACAGGATCTTAGCTCGGTCATTCTCCACCACCCTAGGGTGCATCTCCCATTTTGACCTCAGGACTTCCAGGCCATACTCGGCACAGATCTTCCTGTACACTATGCTGGCCACTTGGTTATGGCGTTCCATATATGCCCTGCCTGCTAGCTTACACCCTGTTGTTATGTGTTGGATTGTCTCAGGGGCATCTTTACATAGCCTGCACCTGGGGTCTTGCCTGGTGTGATAGACTTCACTGAGCACGCGGTCGGTTGGGACCATCTTACTGATGTATTCGTGGATGTTTGTTGTCTCATCCTGGACTGTGGTGCTGACACTCACCAGTACCCTGCCTCCTTCCTTCTACTTAGCGTAAAGCCTCACTGTGCTGGACCTGGCGTGAAACCTTCCATGCATGGTCAGGAGCTTCCTTGTCTTGATGTCAGTGGCTTCTATCTCCTCCTTTGGCCAGCTTGTTATCCCATCAGGGTACCTGATCACAGGCAGGGCGTAGGTGTTGATGGCCCGGATCTTGTTCTTACCCTTCAGCTGACTCCTCAGGACTTGCCTGACCCTCTGCAGGTACTTGGTGGCTGCAGCTTTCCTAGCGGCCTCTTCATGGTTCCCATTTGCCTGTGGGATCCCCAGGTACTTGTAGCTGTCCTCTATGTCTGCAATGTTGCCTCCTGGTAGTTCGATCCTCCCAGTTCTGACTACCTTCCCTCTCTTTGTTATCATCCGACTACACTTTTCCAGTCTGAATGAAATTCCAATCTCATTGCTGTATATTGCTGTATATTCTATAAGATAAAGCCGTAAATATGTGTATCTGAGTCTTCTATCAAAAGTTATAGCTATCTTTATGAAGTTGTACAAAAACGCTTTCTTTCGCCAAGACAGTGCTTTTCTCACTGTTACATGCATTTGAATGGCGTTTTCGCACGAAACAAAGTATACGTTTTCATTTTGTGAATAACTTGAAAATTTTAGCTCAAACGGCTTTAAAACCTGTTTGCTCAACAGGGGATATTGAATTCTATAAGATAAAGCCATATATACGTGTATCTGATCTTCTATCAAAAGTTATAGCTATCTTTATGAAGGATATCCTCATTCATTCTTGGCATACAGCTTGATGTCATCCATGTAGAGGAGGTGGCTGACAACTGCTCCATTCCGTAGTCGGTATCCGTAGCCAGTCTTGTCAATGATCTCACTGAGGGGATTCAGGCACCATAGTCTGGAGTGCCACAACATTGGTGGGAATGCAGATGTTCAGAAGTTCTGGCCGCGATACTTAAGTATCTAGCTATCCCTACAGAAGACGAGCGAGCATAAGGTGAGTAATACTTTATAAGGAATAAGTGTGTGAATGGGTGAATGACTGAATGTAGTGTATAGCGCTTTGGGGTCCTTAGGGACTACAAAAGCGCTATACAAATGCAGGCCATTTACCATGCAGGCCATAAGGGGCACATAATTTCAAATGCTACATTTGTATCAGCTCAACAAATATCAGTAAACACAGTGTTTATGTGCAGCTTGTTTCACACCGTATTTGCCACAGTAGCTAAAAATCCAGCTTCTGTTCAGAGACAGAAAAGAGTGAGAGCTGACTTCAATCAGAGATGGAGAAAGATGTAAGAAAGACAGGACAGGAGAAGAAGAAGAGCAGTGTTCAGAGGCATTTGATAAATTGCTAATTTAAAGCATGTAGTTTCTCATTTTTAAAATCAGATATTAAATCTGCACATGATGTGAATTTATGATTTTTCATTTTGTGAAACATCCTGCAAAAAAAACTGATGTATATTAACACTTCGTAGTCTAGTGCAGTGAATTGTTTTAAGGTCTCTGCCTTACAATATAAAGCACCTCATGGTAATTACTGTTTTGTAATTTGGTGCTAAATAAATCATACTAAATGAATTAAATAAACAGTTTGGCTCACAGTAACATGATGGTTTATTGAATTCAGTTGTGTAAGTTCACAAAGAGCAGTAAACTTCAGAGCAGCTGCAGCAGCAGGACTGCTGATCACAGCCTGTACACTAAGAAAATCTACTGGAGCTCTCAATAGAAATTATTGTCAGTTTTCCCTAAAGCCACTAAGATTGTATGGTTCCTCCATTGGCTGAATCACATTGTAATCCCCGAGTGTGCTAATGTTCCTGTTGAGGTCTGGAAGCAAAGCCACGCTCTACAATGTAGGCAACAGAAAATTGGGCTATTTAAAAAAAAACAACTTCTTTTTCATGCTCATGATATTGACTGAAGTAAATGATTGAATCTCATTGAAACATTAATTCTCCCATCCATTTACAGTTTAGTCACAGACCATCGGCTTATCCACAATGTGCATATACAAAGCACCAGATAAAAAGCTGTTAGCGTCTCAGCTTTCCCAGCTCCACTTATTGTTAACAGGACACAGGCACTCTCTGACAGAGACAACTACTCTTTTCGATGACACTAAAATAAGCACAACTTTCAGCAACAATAGCCAACTGCAGCCACACAATGGAAATAATGCAAATGCACAAATTGACAGGCAGTGAGCTTGATGGCAGTGCTGCCTGTGATGAAAAGAAAGAGAAGAAAAAAAAAACTCTGAAAGTCTCCGTGTGGTCAACAAGTGACACAAATCATGCCCCTATCGTGTGTCCCAATCAGAGATAGTCAGGGGCGGCACCTCTATGATTGGCCGTGCTCCTGTAGTTGTCCCATAGTCCTTTGTGTGTACGTTTGAAAGTGCAGGTGGAAGAGGGAGGTGAGTAGCTTGAATAAAGTGATATCGATTCATGAAATCCTGAATCGACTTTTAAATATATAAATGTATTCTGCCAGAAATGCCAGAATCTCAGCAACCACCAAACAGCAAATGAGAGCAGGTAAACAGATTCCACACAAAGAGGTAAACACAGACCGGACCCGAAGCATCAGAATCAGCTTTCTCTTTCTTGGCTTTCTCACCCAACGGCCCGTACACGGACACGCCGTTGGGGCTGAAAGCCGACAGGTCACTGATTCTGATGCTTCGGTGGGTCCTTCGCTTTGTGTTTGTGTCTTTTTTGCGTCTACAGGGAGTGCAGAATTATTAGGCAAGTTGTATTTTTGAGGA